TGCCTTCAAAGGAGAAGAGTGATAGTTTAGTATGGTTAAGGAACACTATCTTTGAAAATCAGGCAACTCAGGCCCTGATCCAGAAAAGTATTTAAATATGTGCTTAAATTTAAGCACATGCTTATTTGCTTTTTCTGGATCAGAACCTTGGTTAGGACTCTATATATGGATATAGGTGTCTGACTTTAACCAGTCTTTGAAAACGTTCGCTGTAATCGGCTGATGCCTCAGTTTTCTCAGCTGTCATCTTCATGTCATGAGGTTGAATGGGTGTGCACAAGTAAACTGAAAACCTAACATGGAAGGTGCTAACCCTCCGTTACAGGGGCTTTGCAAGCAGCTAATTCGCCTTGCTATTTTCTCCCTCTTGCTCTGTTTGCTAGTAGCTCTGGATTACAGTTCCTGCTGCAAAAATGACATCCTACCCCCCTGTTCTCTAGAAAGGCCTAAAGCTGCCAAGGTTGCCATAATCATTAAATTATGAAAATGTAAGTCGCTGGGAGGAAATTAATACCAGGCACGACCAGGAAAAGGCTGCTTTCTTGTGAAGTAATTATGAAATTAAAATTTGATCTCTCCCTGGCAGTTCTACAAAGGATATGAGACTGAGGTCTAAGCACAACAATACAGTCAGAATTTCAACAGAGGAAGCACACAGGGTTCCACTAGACAAAAAAGCCCATAAAATACTAATAAAAAATATGAACTTTTTATTGTAAATTACATGAATTTGGCTAAAAGGTCTAATCAAGTGGGTGAAGATGCAGGGTTTGCAGACTTCCAATTACTCTTTACAACTTGGAGTCAAGCTGTTAGGAAATGCAGCTTATCTGAATAAGACTAATAATGCTAAGTTAATTAGACCCACAGGCATTGACCAGCAGATAAATTCAGGCCTAAAAGAGGGACACTGCCACTTTAAATACTGCCTTGGGATCCGAGGGAAAGCTAATGAGGAGTGTCAGTTGGGGCTGTTTTATTAGGTGGTTCTCTAGAGGATAAAGCCTGAGGTTTCTGTAACAAGGCTTCTGTGCTTGATTCAATAAATCAATTTATATTAAACAGGGGTGCAGCGCTGGCGTCTGCTTCATAAAGCACTCTGTGGCATTTCTCAATCTGGTTATCCACTTCTCTGTCAGGCTACCTGAATGTGCTGTCAGAGGACATTGAACAGAGCAATAACGAATAGGACAGCATCCACCTTGACATTATTGTTCAAATCAACTTGCGTGTTCCCAATCAAAACATGCGCAATTGGCTCTTGGTGTGGGATTTTGGGTCCCCGTTAAGTGATTAATGAGACCTTATTTTTAAGAGCTGGAGTCTGAGCTGCAGACGCCAGTGCAGGCTGCACAATAAAAGCAAAGGTCATCCATCCTAAACAAAATTTAAAAACCAACTTCGCTTTAAACTCATTTTATCAGATGATCAGAGGCTGAAAGATCTTCCCTGTTAGAAAGGAAAGAGAGAGCACTAAATAGGTTGGCAGCATTCCAGGAGGTGGACAATATTGACCCTAGAGTAAAATGGTTTTTGTATAGTGCTAGTCCTAGGATACCAGCCTTTTTGGTATGGAATAAGTCGCACACAGAGATCCCTCCCCAAAACGTGATGGCCATTGGTGGCTAATTGTATACAACAACCACAAAACCTCACAGACACAGATGATCTGGGAACAGCTGTACCATTAGGTACACAGAATGCTCAGATTCCGCTTATGACTTCTATTCACTTTATTCCTAGTTTTTAATCCCTTACATGTAGTTGGGACTACAGCTGGTTGGAACATTTTCAATAAAATGCAATTTCGTCAAAGCCAAAATATTTTGCGGAGACATACGTTTTCACCAGGAAGGATTTTTTGTCCAAGGTTCTGGTCACTTCTGACACACACAAAAAAAAATCTTCCTGAATCAAAAAGCTCAGGTATCAGTTTCAAACCAGCCATTTCAACACAATTCTGTTTTTGTGAAAATGTTCCAAAGGTTTGGGTTTTGTTCCCATACAGATTGAAAATAAATTCTGAAACCTCACAAGCTGCCATGAAATGGAACGTTGGCAGCTGCTAGACTTTATGGCCACAAGTGAAGAAACATCACTGGTGTATCTGTTGTCTCATGGACAGCCCAGCAGGACATGTGGAAAGATACCAAACATGCCATCTTCATGACAAGGTTTAACTTCTACCAGCCATAGGCCTGGGAACCCAGTACCACAGATCCAGCTGTGAGAAACTGCTCTTTCAACTTAGTAATACAGACGTCTGCCAGAAAATTGCAGCTTGAGATAGCCCAGAGGCTTGTTCAGCAGGAGACAGAGCTCTTAAGATACAATGCCAGCTACAATATATATCCCGTGATGGCTGCTCAACACAACGCCGAGGGGGGTGACTTGCATTAAGCTCCCACCTAAAGGCTATAGTGGAATTTTTGGCACAAAATCTGAACACACGAGACAGAGAAAGGAGACAAGGTTGGGGTGGGGGTCGGGTAAGGATTGGGGGAGAAGGGAAAGGGTTGGTCTCAAAGCAATTACAGGCAGCCTTAGACTAGTGTGAGGCAGTGCATGTTGCCGGATCGGTGGCCGTCCTTATGCTATGAGGAAGCTTGGCAGCTCTGCTACCACTGTGAGCTGCTGAAACAAAGCCAATGTGGAAACTTCACAGGGGAAAAAAAAATGAAAAAAGAAGCCCAACTGCATTATGACAGTTCCAGAGACAATAACCTTTTGTAATCCAAACAAGCTAGCCAAGCCAATCTATTGTTGAGCCTCTGAAAAACTCCAGAGCACAGTAGAAGGGGAAAAAAAACCCCTATAGCTTCTAATAGAAAACACAGAAAAACGCCCTGAATTTTAAAATCAAGCACAGTTCCTCTTTCAAGAGAAACCCTGGGGGCTATGTTTTACACCACTGGACTTTGTTAATTTTCTTTGCATTCAATAATTAAGTGTGAGAGTGAGCGTTTCTCTTTCAAAAACCACCCACACATCTACTCACTTGTGCAGGAGGTTCGCCGATCAAAGATCTTGCGAATTAATTCATCCCCTTCCCCCCATGCCCCTCTCTCTCTTCAAATTTGGCATGAAGAGGTCTAGGTTTGGCAGTGGCTTAGTACACCAGGTTATACTATAGTGAGTCCTGTGGAGAAGGTAAGGAAATATATGCTGGTTTAAACTCTATAATAGCTACCTTAACTCAAGGAGGGAAAGGGAGAAGTAAGTAACCAGAGGAGAGAAATCATCATCATGAAATAATCACTGAGCCTGTAGGTATGTTAGAAATCTAACATCTTAACCATATTTTTAGCCATTAAAAGGATTCCAAACGTTGAACTCAGGGGCCTGTTTTATGAGCTAAACAGAAGACTCCTGCCTAGAAGATTATTACATAAGAACACACAGGTAGTGGGAAGCACAACTTCCTTGACCAAGCACATTTAAAATGGAAATGGCACCCTTATCTGATCAGCTAAGCTTCACGAGGACATAGCAGTCCCTTCACCATTAGATTGTTTTCATCTCTGAAGCAGAGAAACAAGAGAGACTGCTGATACGCCAGCACCGGACTTAGTCTGAGAAAATGGCTACAAGATACTCAACTGCTGACCAACGACTCCAGTACAAAAGTGGTCCCCCCTTCTTTGCTCACATTATAAATTCAGGGACTAGAGGGAAGACGTGGCATCATCTTCCACTTGCATTTTTGTGGCTCTTTCCATGCCCTTGTTCTTCAACTGTCAGTACACCCGTGGTGTACTTATAGGTGAATTTTTAGTCATGGTTTAAGACATGTTAACTAACAGGATTGTAAACTGTAGTGTAAACGCTATGCAAATGTTTGTCCTCTCTTACTCATCTCCTTTTTAAAGCTATTTAAAAATACCATCCCCCCAATCTCCTCATATGAATGTGTTTCCAGGCCTTTGATCATTCTTGTTGCCCTTCCTTAAACACACCTTTAATTTTACAAAAGTTCTTTTTTTAGCTGGGATGACTGAAATAGGACATATAATTGATTTATATAATGGCATTATATTATCATCTGTATTATTCACCATCCCATTCCTTATTCATCCTGACAGTGTTTGCCTTTTTGACCACAGCTGCACAGCTCCATTGAGCAGTTCACAATGATGCCCAGGTTTTGCCTGAGTCAATACAGTTAATTTAGAATTTAGAAGGTGTTTGAGTAGTTGGAATTTTTCCCTCCCATGTGGATTACTTTGCATTTATCAACACTGAATTTCATTTGCCATTGTGTTGCCCATTCACCCAGCTTGTTTAGGTCTCTGAAGTTCCTCCCATTATTCTCTGCTCCTGACTAACCTAAATGACTGTGTTATCTGCAAATCTCGCTACCTCATTGCTCATTCCCCTTTCCAGAGAACTGATAAATATATTAAACAATGCGATAACTGTTACAGAATCTTGAGTCACCCTGCTGTTAATTCTTTGCCAAAAGGAAATTTGACCATTTATTCCTCCTCTTTGCTTCCCTTCTCCTAGCCAGTTTTTAATACTTTGCCCCTCACCCAATGACTACTTACTTTCTTTAGTAGCTTCTTGTGAGGGACCTTGTCCAAGTCCTTTTGAAAGTCTAGGGGTATCTACCCTACAACCACTTCAGTGGCACATTATTGAAGAGTTCTTCAAGCACATTATTAAAGAAAATGAATTTATGTTAAACCAGAGACTACAATATTTATAAAACAGAATGATTTCAAACACATGAAAGTCGCATGATATGTCCTTTGAGGGTCTTGCCTCACTATGACTTCTCACACCAAGAATGAGCCAAGGTCATAACTCTAGACAATCTCTGATTTATTTAAGATTTTGTTTTCTAAAAAGAATAAAAAGTTGGATAGAGGGAGATCCCCTTTCACAACACACACACACACACACACACTGCTGTTTTGATGTAGACAGATTTATGCTAATCAAGAATGCATGCATTATTTTTCCCCCCCTTTCAATGCTCAGAAACGGCATGTTCTTACCAGCCAGTCATGTTAAAGTCCCTGTAGAGCATCCTCTTCCCAACTTCCTTACGCTGCACCCTCCTTGGAAACTCTAAATGTGTGAACTCGTTACCCAGCAAGTGGGGCTGCATGAAAGCCTATGGGCAAAAAAACAGAAACCATGCTTATATCTTACAACAAAATTCATCTATAAGATAGTTTCTCTCCCCCTCCCCCACTTTTATGTATTTTTTAATTTTTTAAAAAGAGGCGATGAGTAACTATCCTAGCAAACAGTATTTATACACATGAATAAAAATCTGACAGACTATTTGGTGGTTAGTGTAGAAAGCTAATCAGATACCTCCATAATCAGCAGTGAGATCTCCCCCAAGTCTTCTATTTTCTCCCCCTTAATAAATACTAATACTTACTACTTGTATAGCATATTTCATCCATTTATCTCAAGGCAGTTTGACAAGGTGGATAAGCATTATCATTAAGGCTAAGATTCCGTCAAGGGTATTTTTAGTAAAAGACACGGACAGGTCACGGGCAATGAATAAAAATTCATAGAAGCCCACGACCTGTCCCTAACTTTTACTAAAAATACCCGGGGAGGTGAGGGGGGGGGCAAACAAAGTTCAGCTGGGGCTTGCAGCTGCTCCCGACGCTACTCCTGTGGCAGGGGCTGACGGCTGCTGCTCCAGCCCCAGTGGGGCTGACCCAGCCCCAGCTGTTGTTCTGGCGGCCCCAGGGCTGGCTGCTGGCCAGCTGTTTTGACAGCCACTGCTTTAGCAGCCCTGGGGCTGACAGCTGCTCCAGACCTGCCCCAGAAGTAGTCACAGAGATCCTGGAAAGTCATGGAATCTATGACCTCTGTGACAGAATCGTAGCCTTAATTATCATCCCATTTTACACCTGCAGAATCTGAGAGAGAGATCAAGGCCCATCTTCAGTCAGCCAGCCAGTTCCCATTTTTGTAGCATTTTTATTAATTGCTTTCCTTCTTCTAAGGAAAAAAAAAAAAAAAAGCAGTCCTGACCCCATTTCTCCTGTTAAACCTGGACCAGTTCCTGACAAATTGCGTATAACAAATAAACTCTGGGTTATCCAATATTTTCTGTTACCATGAGTATATCTGGTCCTCCCGGGAGTGAATAATTTTTCATGCTGGACAGATCCAATCATAGTATGGGTAAACACATTTACTAGAGCTAGTCAGAAAATGGAATCCTCCCCCTGAAAGAAAATATCAAGTTTTCAGCCAAAAACTGAAATATTCCAGTCCTGCCTCATGGGAGTTGTAGTTTGGGTGCCTCATATTCCCTTTCTCCTCTGTGTGCCCGGTTCCCTGGTCAAACGACATCTTTCCACATGAAGCACCATGGTCTCAGTTCTTGGTGATGGGAGGCAGTGTATCATGGTAGCCGCATGGCAGTAGTGCATCATGGGAGATTAAATTCATCCAGTGACCCTGGCCCATAGAAAAGAACTGGAGCATGAGGCACCAGAACTACAATTCTCATGAGGCACTGTGGCGGCATTTCAGAATCAAAATATTTCTGTTTTCTGCCAAAATATTTTGGGTTTTGGCTTTCAGATGTTAAATAAAAATTGATTTTTTTTGTGGAAAGTGGACACTTTTCACAGAAAATTTAATTTAGTTAAAAACGAAATTTTCTGTCAAAAACAGCTTTGGCGAAATTTTTTTGATCAGCCCTAATATTTACACAGCTCTGCCAACGTGCCTCAGTTGTGCCCTGCTGCACTCCAGCTATTGAGACCCTTGGTCTCCCTACCAGTGATTGCTTGCTAATGTTACTAAAGGGTCTGGTGATTCTGTGATGGGGACCAACTTCAGACTAAACCATTCGTTTTCATTTGGGGTCTAGAAAGAAGTTACAACGAAATCCCCAGATGTGAAAAGTTAATCCATTAACACTGTGCCTGAGCTCACATACAACATTAACAGTTATGTTTCCCCTCCACATTTTACCATAAGCAGCAGCAAAAAGACAAACGAAAGAAAACATTTAAGGCTTAATTACATGTGCATACTGGTGGGGTTTTTGCATTTACTGACAGTGAGCTCCTGCCTGAGACAAACTGAGCCAAATTAGCCAGGGATCACTGGGCCTAAGGTGGACAGACAAAAGTTGCATTTCCCCTTAGCCTTCTGGAAATGCCCCTTTCCCCCCCTGTTCAGCTGGTTAAGGGAATAAAATCTGCCTTATCTTCAGCAGCAGCTGCAGTCAGGGAAGATCAAATGAGTTGGCATTAGTTTCTAGCTATGACATAAATGTAGTACTCATGAAAAGTGAGCAGTTGGGAGTATCTGAAACCTTTACTGATTTACCCAATAGCTCTCATACAAATAGGTCAAAATAAAATATTTCCTTCATTTAAGGCGTGAACTTGCTGAATTCAGTGGGAGTTGGATCAGGCTCAACACATCACCTCTCTATCCTAAAGAAACCAATTGCTTCCATTCTTTTATCCAGATATCTTTTGAGAAGAAACCTCCAGCTTCACTGAAATGGAGTCAAGGCAGATGACATTCTGACTGGCTAACTAGAGTGCAGTCTACTTTCAAGGCCCAACTTTCAAGTTTGATGGAGACCTTCTGCTCTTTTGCTGGAACAAGAGTTCCATCAAATCCCTTCTCAGCACAGGACAATATTACTTTATCTGCAAACTGTAGTCTTCAATAAAGTTCCCCTAAAATATTGTCCTAACGGGCCATGTAGATGGATCACTGTTCCCTGCTAAAAGAAAGAAATTATTGTAAGGTATTACTGATTTTTAAAAATGTCTAGTGAGATCAAACCTATAGCATACATCTTGGAAAGAGGTTTTCTGTACTTTTACTTTAGTATTTTAGATATCCAATATGTAAATGTATGTATAATCATTGCGTTTATCTTTTTTTCTTTTATATTGAAAACTATACACATCTAAAAGAGTTTGATTCAGTATATTGCAGTATAAAATATATTTGGTAATTTTTGACAGCCAAGAGATGGAATAGAAACCTGGTTGCTAATTTTAATAGATAATTTTATATTTTACTGATGTCCTAAATAAATTCCAGAAACTCAGTATTTTATTACAGTTTTTTCTGGATTTTTCCAATATTCACTCTTTTTTCATCTGCTGTGTTGAAAAAAAGAAGTCAATAATCAGTTTAGAACGTTGTTGATTTCAGTTTTTGTAAAAAAATACATGGATTATCTTGAGCAAATAATTACAAATCCAGTCCACTTAAAGCTTAGTGTTCTCTGCCTTTAAAACAGGCAGCACTGTTTAAAACACAAAAACACCCTACCACCAATGGAGTTTTTTCCCTCTTACATTATCAGATTGCTTGTTTTACTGTATAGACAACTCCAAAAGAAACTAAATCCATAAGGCTTTTAGCAACATTTTTTCTTGGAAAATAAGAATTTCCCTTATTGCAAAGGGAAAGTGATTGTGAGAGACTGCGTTTCATAAAGATTTGCTCAGATGGAAAGTCTAAGGTCACACGTGAAATAAGATTAATAAAGCTGGCAGAGCTACCAGTGGACTGCTAATGTTCAAATAAGATTTCTCTTCCGCAGCCTACCCTCAATGTTTGATTTACAATCTAAGAATCTTAACTTGATTCTAGTATTTTTGACGTCAGTAAAACAGAGAAGGAGAAGAGGAATTTGGAAGCTGCTGGTGTCTGAATGTGAGCTGAATTCTTATGTGAAGAAACATTTCCTTTGCAGTTATTCTTGAAGTTTCCCTGGTAATTCTATAAAGTGATATGAATGTGCCACTATAAAACACAGGCTTGACTCCTCTCAGACTGACTTATTGAGAACTGTTCCCTATTTACTACGAGGCGTGGCTCTTTGCCTTCCTCCTGGTGACAGATTGTGCTTTGCAATAGAAAAAGAAAATAAATACAAAACAAAAATCTTCAACATCTGCAGATCTTTAAAGGAGATCCACAAGCAGACACAAAGAAATCTCTTTAATTGATCAACAAAAGCAAAATGTGAATCAATTCTAACATTTAAATAGTGGTTAGACATCACATTTATCAATGATTTTACATATACTCAGTCTAGGTTTAAAAGTATGCTAAGGGGAAAATATATTTCACAGAAAAAATGTTACTTAGCTTTAAAGCAAAAACAACCAACCTTGGTGAATATCAAATACTTTACTTTCTGTATCCTTACCAGGCTAGTTAAGAAGGCTTCACTCTACTATTCTGGCTTTAGGGTACAAAAAATATTTTCCACCATTTTGGTCTTTCAACAGTTATTACTGTCTGCTTTGGCACAAATCTACAGTATTCTGTATTATATGCTTTTGGGAGTCAACCATTTTATGGTTGTCTATATTAAAAATTCAGTGTTAGTTATGCTTTTTTAACAGTTAGCCATGTAGAAAAGAACCCGCTCATGGAAATATGAGTCACTTTTCTTTCAACAGGCCGGTTTCCCCATTTCCTTTTTATTAAAATTGATCTGGAAAGCAAATGTGAAAACTAAGTTAACTCACATTTATCCCAACAAATTAGGCTGTAGAGAGCATTTGTGTGCCTTACAATTCTCTTTGCAAAGTCCTTTAATGTTGACTACTTCACTCAGGCTATCCTAGAATGCATCATTCTGTGACATCCAACATCAGAAGTTTCATTGCAACTCATGGTACTATCTGGGTTGCCATTTTCACCCATACATATAGCCAAGCCTCAAGGTATAGTACTATTCCTTTAATACAAGGACAATTATCATTGTGCCTTTTCCTCAAGCATTACATTTTAGTTCACGACCCCACACTCAAACTGGAAAAGGTTAAGTGTGATGCATCCAGGAGAGGTTCCAAGCATACTGGTCAGTTACTCTAGGGCTGGATCCATATTCAAAGCCAAACAACAGGAAATCTAAATAGGGGAAAACATTAGAAAAAGAAAACAAGTCTCCAGGATCAGAAATATAGGGCCAGGTCCTTGGTGGACAGTTGTAGTTCCCTTTATATGGGAAAGTTTCCAACTGGTGGAAAACTGACACTGGCTGTCTCTAGCACCAGATGAGCACAAAAAGTGGCCTATAGACACCTTTGCCCCTCCGTCTGCCCAATGCACCAAGCAGAGCTCTGGTGCATCTGAAGATTTGGATCTAAGGATTTTGATCTAAGGTGAATGTATAAAGAAACACAAGAGTAAGAAATTTGGACAAAATGGGTATTTTGGAAGTAGACTGTACTACCATTAACCAACACTCATTGTAGGAAGTTGAAAGGAGCCCCCGCTCCCCAAACCATACAAAATATTTCCATATCTCAGGTAATACTTTGTAAACTAATCTTTCAGACAGAGAAGTATCTATTTAAAAGAATTACATGAGGGGACGGATGGTCTTGTAGCCAACGCATTAGACATACTCAGAAGATCTGGGTTCAATTCCCAGCTCAGGCACAAAATTCTTGTGTATTGTAGAGCAAGTCATGTAATGTCTCTGAGCCTCAGTTCCCCATCTGTAAAATGGAATAGCAATAATTCCTTCTGCCCACTCCTGCTCTTTCTAGACTGCAAACTTTCTGAAGCAGGAACCCTGCCTTGAATTGCGTACGGACAATATTTAGGCCGACTGTAATGCAAATGATAATGTTGTACCTGTCTGCAAAAGTCAATATTAACAGAAGTTTCTAGAGGGAATACATGATAAAATATATGTTGCAAAAATGCACTAAATGGCAAAATCTAGAATGATTCATATTAAAAGTCTCTTCAGAAGATAAAAGGGAAATTGACTGGGGTAATCTCCACAGATATATTTTTTGCCAGCCCAAATGCTGAAGTCTTAGAAAACTTCAGAAGTCAACAAATCAGTGCACAGTCAATATCTGGTTGGATTTTATCATCTTTTTCACAGCATGTTAGCAAGGGAAGCACCATGATTTCCTTCCAGAGTGCCTCACGGATCATAATAAAAAGGTTGTCACAAATGCTGAGCCCCACAACTTCAAAGCAAAAGGACAACACTTCGTAGGCTGGCAAAAGCCTGTCTGAAGAAGGGCCTACTACATGAATGGAACCTATTGGGGAGCAAGAAGACAACAAGTGCTGTGAATCTGGAGAGGGAAGGGAATGTGAATGTAACACTTGTACATCTTTTGCTAAATGATCTGTGTCTTAAGGTGTCATATCTTTAAGAGGATATGACTGCTAGGAGAGGATCTATAATTGGAAGCTCCAAGAAGTTTCTAGCTCATTGACAGAGCAGATTGCTTCTGCTGCAAACATCCATATGGAATCAGTGAGAGGAATCCAGGGGCTGCATTCAGTTAAACGCAGGCTGCATTTGAATGTACGCTTTTCTCCTAAAGAAGTAAAACTCTAGGTGAGACTAGTCCTTACTAGATGGTTGGGGTGAGAGTGACTCGATCAATGGAAGCCCAAGTGCTCCTTGGAGCTGCTAAGAAAGAGGTCCATGCTCATGGATATTGTAGGACAGGCCATACCAAAAACTACGCTATAATTTGGGCTGATCAGAAAATCTTTTGTCTAATGGTTTTTCTGCATTGTTAAACTAGCTCTAGTTGCAACAGTGACCCGTGCCACTTTCTTCTCTATTTCTAGAGGAGACAAGACTGGAGTGGGTTTATAGTTCATTTGAGCTAAACACATATTACGAGAAGGAAGATTACATTGGCACTGACAACTGCAGAGTGAAATATTTATGTTAAAATGACCAGAATGTGCATTTCTTCCTGTTGTTCGGTATGCATGGGAGAGGGAACTGGGAAACTACATTTAAACTGGAACCCAGAGACTTGCATCCAAACAAATCCAAAGTAAATACCCTTAAGACAAGGAAGTGCAGTGAATATTGGTTTCCAGAGATGTAAGGATGAAGAGAGACAGGTGATGGCCCTGGACAGATAAAGAGGATGACCAGAAATCTCAGGTGGTTTAGATACATTATAACCAAGCATTTGAACTTTTAGAATTGGATGCTTATTCAAGCTAAATAAGCTTGGGGTTCTTTTGAGGTTTTCCCTAATTAAACACTCATTTTCCAAGTGCCTCAAAGTACTGTTAGATGGCTACTACGACTTTTTTTTTTTTTAAACACTGGAGTAAAAGTGTTACCTATGGAACGTTTGAAATTGTCTCTAATTTTGTTTCACGCTCTTGCTGTCTTGCGTGTATTTCCTTTGAACATGATACCCATGGCCCAGGCACATTTGCTACATATACAAATGAAATAAACAAAAAAAGGTAAAGAAAATTCCAGGGGAAACAGCAGAAGTGCTTTTCAAATCAGCTGCTGTTTTCAAATATAAGCCAGAAAGGACATCAAAAGAGCAAAATCCCTTGTAGGCAATGCTTTATCTCATATTTTCCTAGAGAAGTGCCAGGCTCCCAAGATACTACAGATTCTCTTTATTTTACAGGAAAACAAATTATTTTAACTATAACTAAGTATAAATATTTATTAGGTCTGCTTTGTATTTGGTTCTCTGAATATGAATACATCCCAAAGTATTTCTTTCCTCTGAAATGTTCAGACTCAAGCAATGAACTGGAATAGGAATTAAATCTGAACAGAAAAACAAAAAGGCATTTCCTTCAAAAAAATGTTTTTAAAATCCCAACAACCTTGCATCTCTACCTCGCCAAATACTGAGACAGTTGGAGTAGGCTGAACATAAAAGGTATTTTAGGAACAGCAGAAGACCATCAGGCCTAGGTTCCCTGTAGAAGGGGCGGGGACCCCTAGACTGAGAAGCCCTGGGGAGGAAGAGGAGCAAGGCCCTCGGGGTAGCAATCATGAGAACCCTAGACAACAGAGCCCGGACAGGGTAGATTGAGGGGAAGGAGGTGCGGGGGAGATGGCCAGCCCAAGTCCCTTAGAGGGAGAAAAGGAGCAACTGGAGCTCCCCACAACGCAGCTCCCAGGAGAAGAAAGAAGGACCCCGCATGGTGGCTTGGGAGAACCCGAGGTGTCCTGCAGGAGGTTGGGATTGGCCTTGACCCTCAACCAGAAGAAAAGGGGATAAAGGAGAAGGGATGCTTGCTGGGGTGCGATTGGTGTGAGGACCTGTGGGTGATGGCTGAGCTATGGGAACATCCACCCCTCGACCAGTGTACTTTTTATGGGTGGGGGATGAAGGAACCTCCAGGAGATGATGCCGGTGATTGCCTGAAAAAGGGGGAGAGGCTTCCCCGGACGAACCCTACTGGATGCGGGTGGAGAGGCCGAGGAAGGACGAACCTGGCGGTTCATAAGGGGGCAGGTGTGTGACAGGGTGCTGGCTAGGACATCCTGAGCCAGCCCTCTGTCACAACAGCTCCAATCAGGAAAGGGGAATTGGAGCTGGTGGAGTAAGCGCAGGCCTAAGTGGCAAACGGGGAACAGCTACTGGCCTTGTTAGCCAGGGGCTACATAAACGCTGGGAGGAAGGAAGCCGTGGCAGAGGAAAGGGAGGAGCCAGGGAGTTAGTGGCCGCTCTCCCCTGCTGGCTGCAGAAGCCAACAGTCCCTGAGGCTGCAAGCCTGACGCTTTCTGTAGCTACAAGGTGGTGGGAACTTCTACCCTAAATAAAGAGCACGGGTGATTGCACCAAAGCAGAGGTCTACGCCTGGTTTGTGGGCGCAGCAGGGGCAGAAGCTAGAGGGGCCCATCGGCGCCCTGTTACAGTCATACAGCAATCAGTGGGCTCAACTGTTAGTTTTAATGGTGTAAAAATTAAATGGCGGTTTGAGTCAGAAAGAAGTAAAAATATATTTAGTTATTCGTTACATGGCTTATAGGCTAATAGTGCTTTGTACATAAACCATCCTGTCTCTCATCAGCTAGTCATTGGCTGCAGGGGGTTTGGCTGCCCTAAGCAAACTAGTAAAGCATCCATCCCTCCCAATCCACAGTTATCCACACTGAATGAGACCACCCACACTGAATGAAACCACCTCTATGGTAGATCCAGCCTAGGTAAGAGATCTCTGTCAGCCATGCTAATAAAACACGGGAAAACAATATGCACCACAGTCTCTCTCACACACAAATGTCAGACTGCTACATTAAATACCATCGCACAGTAAACACTGGGAGGGAGTTAAGTACCCTACTCAGTTTGCTCATAGATGTGCTATAGTAAAATGTTACTTAACAATCCTGTGAACACATGACAGAGCAACATTCAGCAGCAGCTAGTGCAATCCTCAGATCTCTTACCAGATATTGTAGTCGCTGACGCTCAGTCTCAGGAGTGAATTCTGAAGACATTGGAATAACTTCTTTGTTCCTGATTATTATGGCCCTGCAATTGTCATAAAACATTGTCAGTAGAGACCACAGAAAATACTGGGACATGTGGGCTTTTTCTAACATTAGCTGGGTGCTTATTCTGCTCGGACCAGAGCAAGACAAAAAAAAGTCTCCCTCCCACCCCCCCAAAACATTATAAAAACAGGATGCCAACTCTTGCCCCATTTTATTTTTGGTGGAATAGCAAAACAGTAGATTTGCTTATGTCAAATTCACCTCATTCTTAGAGCTCAGAAAAATCAGGCACCCAAATAATGACAGGAGTTATTTCAACCCAAGTCTACAGGGTATATTCTTATTCGTGAAAGCCAGACACCCAGAGGAGATACTGCAGAATTACTGATTGCAGAACAACCCTTTGCAGGCTTTAATCCCAGTAGGGGCTGACACTCTCCAACCTGCTGGCTTCAGATGACTCATGCAAGCCACTTTCCAGTTATTGATTGGTCGTATGTCATGTCAGAACATTTCCATTCTCGCAGCAAATGGAAATGGCAAAGCAAATCCTGTTTAACACAAATCTAACTAGCTACCTGCCAGAGGAAGACGGGTAATGGGATGGCTATAGATCATCTGGCAGATTTCACACACACATTTCTGCAAATGGCACAGAGAAGAAAATTCTACCAAACAATGAATATATTTCTGTCATCCCTATAAAATATCTGTATAAAATAAAATGCCACATTTGTCCCTTGTGTAACTGTTTCAGCTAATGGGAGATACACCAGGGAAGAATTTGGTCCATAATGTTTCTACTGTATTTATTGTTCATGTATCCCATTCTAATAATAGAATTGTATTCTCATACTTTTTTATTATTTATGCAGCCCCTCAAGTGGTGCACTCATGGTGCTTTATATGGTGGTTAGAGAAGACATACATGTTCCCAAAGATTTTATAAGCTTCAAATCTGCCCATCTAGATTATTAGAGTACACTACTACCTCGATATAACGCCACCCGATATAACACGAATTTGGATATAATGCGGTAAAGCAGTGCTCCGGGTGGGGTGGGGTGGGGGGCTGCGCACGCCGGTGGATGAAAGCAAGTTCAATATAACATGGTTTCACCTATAACGCGGTAAGATTTTTTGGCTCCTGAGGACAGCGTTATATTGAGGTAGAGGTGTATCTTAAAATTGGAACACTTGGTGCTGTATTGATTTCCCCCCTTTTTTGACATCACACTATGCATACACAAGTTACTGTTATTTGAATGCAAGTCTTTACAGTTCCAACAGCATATTGATCCCTCCTTTTGTGATCCTTTATTCCCTTTTTACTTGTGCTATTCACATCTTAATTCCTTTGATAATTTGATCCGTTTGTTGACTGCTACCCTACATTGGGTATCCTAGTGGCACTGAAAAGCCATCAAAGTATATTGTATATACACACACACATACGCTTTGATGAACCTTAAGCGGAGATTCAAAAGACAGACCCTCCTTGGAAAACACCCATTAACGTGCTGCTTTTCACAATTAGGTCTATGGCATAACTACAATACATCACATCCCCATGAGTCCTTTAATGCTATATTGGATGAATGTAACCTCCAAATCACTAGCTAATATGAAAATATAGCAATGACATAATGGAATGATAGAGGGAACAAATGGGTTGGGTGGGATTGTAGGGGTTATGTGGAAATGAACAGGGATGCGTGGAGAGGTTAAATCTATGTTGCAGAGAATGCAGAAATGTGGGGCTTCAGTTGCAAGGGGTCTTGTAGTGGGAGGAAAATGTGTGTGTGTGTTGGGGGGTGGGAAATAGTTTTGACAGAGACCATGAGCTTATTGCTCTTGGTTTTTCTGAACTCCACATGCAAATGATGCTACAGGTTTATTAGTGGAAGTTAGAGGGGTACACACAGAAACCCACCCAACAGCATCACATTTGCTTCATGAAAGCTAAGAAGCCCATTGCTACTACTATCAGAAATTTCATGTATTTTCTGTGTGGGGAGGGATTCCCCTAGTGGTAATAATTCAATCATTTTAAAATGGGGGAGAACACTGGGGAGAAATTTGGGCAGAATCTTCTTCTAAATATAGTTTAAATTAGTAATGGGTCTCCCCCCCCCCCCTCATTCCAGTCTGGTAAAAATGACATGGTGGAAGTCACAATTAGGCTTTGCAGTATGCCCCGTTTAACACCTTCATTTGCAAAACTGAAATAAGAACAGCACTGACTATTGTGTGTGCTGGCAACTTTGCTTTATTTTTTGCTAATGGTTAATTTAATGTGGCTTTGAAACAGAGACAACTGCTCAAATACATTAGCCAGTTTTCATAACCCTTTCATCTGTAACACTGCTCTACAGCCAAAATGCTTCTGAAATAAATGTCGTCAAACTTTACTAATTCTGGGTCACTGAGAACGAAAATGATGCTTAAAATTGTTGATTGACTCTAGTTTTCAAGATACACTATTGGGTCAGTATATACGACCCTTGACTTGGGGATGGCGGAGGATAAGTGAGTTATAAAGGGAAGGGATCTCAATTTAAACCAGAAATGACTAAAATACATCTTTGACTGGATCTATGAATAAATCTATGACTGGGTTTGGACAGTACTTGCTTTTTAGGCAAAACAATGAATGATGCAATCTGAAGCTGGTATTGCGTCATACATGATATGAATTGCATCATGTTATTCCTAGAAGTCATGGATAATGCAATCATAACGAAGCTTACATCACTCTGCTGAACAAATTGCCCTATATCAGCTCTAGAAATCATACAGTGTCGTGCTCTCTTATTTGTCAGTGTTTGATTTTGCAAAGGGACACATTTCTGTTTAGCCAAAGTGAGCAGAGATGCCTCGTACTTGTGTGAACAGTGCAGATAACTTCTGCTATGTTTGTGGTGAAGTGACTTTTGCATCACAAAAGCGCAGTATAACCACTATGGTTAAGAAAGCCTATCACCTTTATTTTGGCTGCAAAATTGGAGATCAGGACAAGAGGTGGGCCCCACACATATGCTGCAACACTTGTGCAACAAATCTTCGCCAGTGGTTGAACAGGAAAAGGAAATCTATGCCTTTTGCAGTGCCAATGATTTGGAGAGAGCCAACAGATCATACCAGCAATTGTTACTTCTGCATGGTGCCTCCAGTTGGGAAAGGTGTGTCAAAGAAGAAAAAGTGGACTGTGCATTATCCAAACATTCCATCAGCTATACGCCCAGTACCCCACGGAGAAGGACTGCCGGTTCCTGATGCACCAGAACCATTCTCACTTGAGTCAGACGAGGAAGAGGAAGAGGATGAGGATGAAACTTCTGGTCCTGAACCATCAATGTCACAGGACCCACATTTTCTCCCATCCTCCTCTTCTGAACCGCACCTCATAACACAAGGTGAACTGAATGACCTTGTCAGGGATTTGGAACTACCCAAGAGTAAGGCAGAGCTGCTGGGCTCCAGACTACAGCAGTGGAATCTCCTGGCAGGTGACGTTAGGGTTTCCATGTTCCGTGACCGTCAAAAGGATCTTGTCCCATTCTTCTTCACGGAAGGTGATCTTGTAGCCTGCAACAACATCGATGGTGTGATGGCAGCCCTCAACATCGTTCACGATCCAGATGAGTGGAGACTGTTCATTGATTCATCGAAGACGAGTCTTAAAGCTGTTTTACTGCATAATGGCAATGTTTTGCCATCAATTCCAGTTGGTCATGCAGTCCATATGAAGGAAACCTATGACAACATGAAACAACTTTTGAGGTGCATAAACTATGACCAACATCAGTGGCAGCTTTGTGGCAATTTGAAGGTTGTTGCTCTCTTGCTTGGTCTGCAGACTGGATACACAAAGTACTGCTGTTTTCTCTGTCGTGCAAGTCGTGCAAGAGATTGGGATAGTCGTGCAAGAGATTCCCACTACATCAAGAAAGATTGGCCACTCCGACAGTCATTGGAGCCTGGGAGGAAAAGTGTTCAGCATCCACCACTTGTTGAATCAAGGAAGATTTTGTTACCACCCTTACACATCAAGCTGGGTCTGATGAAGAACTTTGTCAAGGCCATTGACAAAACACAAGCAGCTTTCAAGTACCTCCGTGGAAAATTTCCAAGATTAAGTGAAGCTAAGATAAAGGAAGGTGTCTTTGTTGGTCCTCAGATTCGTGAACTTCTTCGAGATGATGCATTTGACCATGCACTGCATGGCAAGGAAAAGACGGCATGGAAAGCCTTCCAGTTAGTGGCAATAAATTTTCTAGGAAACAACAAGGCAGACAACTACAGGTTGTTGGTGGAAAATCTCCTCAAGGCATACAAAAGCCTTGGTTGCAACATGTCACTAAAGATACATTTTTTGCACTCTCATCTAGATTTTTTTCCACCAAACTGCGGAGCAGTGAGCGACGAGCACGGCGAGCAATTTCACCAGGACATTGCAACAATGGAGAAACGCTATCAGGGCAAATGGAGCCCATCAATGCTTGCAGACTATTGCTGGACAGTGACAAGAGATGCTCCATTTAATGAATACAAGAGACAAGCCAAGAAGCGCCGAGTAGACACTGAATAGGACTAAACTATGTACATAATAGTTTTTTGCCTTTTGCTGATTTTTAAAGTGTTACATAAACAGGACAGGTGAAATATTATCATGTAAAGCAACCATAAACACATGAAAAGACCTAGGTTTACAATTTATGATTAAAACTCTACTATCTACACAATATACATAGACATAAAATGTAAAAACTTAAATATCTTAGAAACAGTAGCCAATCAGTTGTTTTAATTGTCATATTTGAATTCAGCACATCAAAATACATAAATAGCACATTTTATCTCTGAAGCAGACGACTTGTCAAAAATTGTAGACCAGTGTAATTTGACTCGTAAGTAACGGTCTGACACAGTTTGAAGGGTTTAGGGTTCCAGCATGTTGATCAATAGTCTGTATTGTGCCATGCTAGAATGATCAAAAGACGTTAACAGAATTTTTTATCTTAAAAGAATGAATCG